CTCCGCTCCAGGCCCTGCCCCTCCAGGGAGGCGCGGGGCGGGTTCCCACGCCGCAGCCGGGCCACCTATTCCCCTGCTCACCTAGGCTTTCTGAAGATAGAGCTACTCCTGGGGACCCAGGAGTCCTTCTTCACCTGCTCTATGGAGGCACGTGGTGTGGACGGGGGCTGTGCGCTCCTCCTCGCCCAGCCCCCGCCCACTGAGCAGCACCGTCCTGGAAACTCGGCATCAAACGCACACGCCGCAGACTGAAAGGCCATAGCTTTTGTTTCTGATTGTAAAATCAATGAGCGCGGAGTGTTCAAAACAAAACAAAACAGAAAAAGACAATGAAGAAAGCAAAACCGCAACCCCACCACTCACAGAAATCACGTCTATTACGATCCGCTATATCACTTAGGGTTATATTATGAGCTAACTTCGGTCGACATTCCCCTTGACAAACGCACATTGTGACGCAACCTTGGCCCAACATCCGAATGGATGCGCTGTCCTTTCCCACGCGCTGCAGGGAGCAAAATGGCTCCTCTGGTTGGTTCCTTCGCATGGATTCCTGGAAGTCCAATTACTGGGTGACAGGAATGAACATTTTATTAGCTATTGACATGTTTCCAAACTGCCCTCCAGCAAGGTTTACACAGCAGCGGCGGGACAAGTTACTTTGGGCGAGTTACCTTCTGTATCTCAGTTTCTGCATCAGCAAAAGGGGATACTTGAACCCAATTCACAAGGGGAAGGGATGCAAATGAGAGGAGGCTGGCTGAGTAATTTGCTATTATTAAAAGGAACTCTTCCAACCAGCACTGGATACTAGGGTTTTAAATAAATGTTCGCTAATTTGTTAGTGGCAACAGTGTTCTGATTTGACTCTTTGATTGCCAACAAGGGTTAAACAATTGATTATCAGTGTTTTTCTCTTCTGGGACTTAATGTATCTCTTTTATTTCTTCGAGGGACTTAATGTATCTCTTATTGACTTATCAAACTTATTAACATAGTAACCCTTTATATATTTTTGTTGTTGTCCGTATTTTCCTCAGTTTGCCTTTTAACTTTTTACAATATAGTCAATCAGTGTTGCTTGAGTCAGTGTTGTTACTGAACAATCTATATTCTCACCCCTTCTCAATTAAAAATGGGCAAAGGACCTGAATAGACATTTATCGAAAGAAGATATATAAGTGGCCAATAAGCACATGAAAAGAAGCTCAACATTGATCATAAGGGAAATAAAAATCACAGTGAGCTATGTCACACCCACCAGGATGGCTATAATACAAACCACAGATAATAAGTGTTGTCCAGGGTGTGGAGAAATTGCAACCCTTGTGCACTACTGGTGGGAATGTAAAATGGGGTAGCTACTTCTGAAGTGGATTTGCAATCTGGCAGCCCCTCAAAACATTACACATAAAGTCACCATCTGACACCCAGTCATTTCACTCTCCCTTGATGCCTCCAAATGGGGCATCAAGAGAAATGAAGACCTATGTCCACACACAGACTTGTCCATGAGTGTTCATAGCAGCATTATTTATAGTAGCCAAAAGTGGAAATAATCACAAGTCCATAAACTGATATACGGATAAACAAAAGGTGGTATATCCATGCTGTGGAATATTATTTGGCAATAAAAAGAAATGAAGTACTGATACATGCTACAACGTGGATGAACCTTGAAAATATTATGCTAAGTGAAAGAATCCAGTCACAAAAGACCACATATTGTCTGATCCAATTTAAATATATTTGTATTGATTTCAGAGAGAAAGAGAGGAGAGAGAGAAGCATCAATGATGAGAGAGAATCATTGATCTGCTGCCTCCTGCACGCCCCACACTGGGGATCAAGCCCACAACCTGGGCATGGGCCCTGACTAGAAATCGTACCGTGACCTCCTGGATCATAGGTTGACACTCAACCACTGAGCAAGACTGGCTGAAATGTTCAGAATAGGCAAAGCCTAGGGCTTGGGAAGGGGCCGACAGGGATTTGAGGGGTTGGTTAGCAGGACAGGGTTTCTTTTTGAAGCAATGGAAATGTTCTAAAATTGATTGTGGTGATGGTTGCACAACTCTGTGAATATACTAGAAGTTGTTGAGTTATACAGTAACAAATCGGTAAATTGTAGAGTATGTAAATTAAGTCTCAATAACACTGTTATTAAATGAAAACAACCCTATGCCCTGTGGATACCCAAAAGCTTTCCCTAAATGGCTGTGAGTTGTCATGGGAATGGGACTTTTATCCCCAGGGTCTCCTTTGATGTCAGTTCCTGATCCAAGAATTCTGGCTGGTCCCACAACACAATGACCCAGAAATAGAACTCAGCCCTTTTCCGGAAGTTCCATTCCTCCAGTCCTCCTTGCCTCTGAGCAAGTGTTCATGACTTCATTGTAGATGGGGCCGAGGAGACAGGAGGGATGGCGTTACAGAAGGGCAGCAGCTTTCAAAGCAACATCCAGCATCCTGGATGCTCTTCACCCATTTTTAATTGGGGGCTTCTCAGCCTTTCACCCCCCTCCCCATGTCACGCAGGCTCTCTCTCCAGCAACTCCTCCTCCCTTCCTGTCTGGAGCACACCGAGCTCTTCCCTAGCCTCTCTCAGGCAGAGCCGGTGAGCGTCAGACAAATCTTTTGTGGCCTGGAGCCCATCCTCCACCCAAGAAATGTATCAGGATATTTCCTAACAAAGATAAATATCTTCCAAAGAGAAATTCTGTTGTCAGCTGTTAAAAGACACTGATGTGGCTAGGCTTTCTTGTTTGTTTTGAAAGTGGAGAGAATAATTTAACGAACCTCCTGTACCCATCATCCGCAGCTTGAACCATTAGCAGTGCTTTGCCAATCTTGTTTGCACATAAGATAAACTCTTCACCTCAATTACTTTTCATTTGGGGGCTTTTAAAATACAAATACAAATGCTCCTATCAGAACAAGACATAGAACACAGGCTTGACAATCTGTTCTTTCCCAGCGCTAGGAAGCCAGGGACAGGGATGGAGCGTAGCGGGCGGGGGCTGAGGGTGGTGCGGTTGGCTCAGGTGTATGGAACCTTCAGGATGGGGGGCGGTGGGGGGGAAGAGGGGTGCATGGGCGTGATGCGGAGGGCAGGGGTCCCAGCACGGTGCTGAGGGCGGGGCTAGAATGCAGTGTCGGACGTGGTGTCCTGCGGCGCCGCCTCGCGGGAGTAGAACTCATCGACCACGCTCTGCGGAATGCGCTTCAGCATCTCCTTGGGGAAGATGCGCAACAGCTTCCAGCCCAGGTCCAGCGACTCGAACACCGAGCGGTTCTCATAGGGGCCTAGGGGCAGAGCACGAGCGTCAGTGTGTGTGTGTGTGTGTGTGTGTGTGTGTGTGTGTGTGTGTGTGTGTGATGTGTGTGGTGTGTGTGGTGTGTGTGTGTGAGTGTGTGTGTGAGCGTGTGGTGTGGTGTGGTGTGGTGTGTGTGTGAGCATGTGGTGTGGTGTGTGTGTGAGCGTGTGGTGTGGTGTGTGTGAGCATGTGGTGTGGTGTGTGTGTGAGGTGTGTGTGTGTGTGTGGTGTGTGTGTGTGTGTGTGTGTGTGTGTGTGTATGTCTCGGGGTCAGGGGGTTACTGCCTGAGCGCCCCAAGGGCCTCACCCTGGTTGATGAAGTTCTTTTCGAACTTCTGCAGGAATTCCAGGTAGAGCAGGTCCTCGGAAGTGAGCGCCTCTTCCCCCACCACGGCCTTCATGGCCTGCACGTCCTTGCCGATGGCGTAGCAGGCGTACTGGGGAGGGCAGAGGGGGTCACGGTCACCCTAGGGCCTCCGATGAGGGGTTTTGCCAGGAGAATAGCTCATGGTCTGGATGGGTCTCAGCCCTTCAGCATCTGAAACCAGCCCCCCGCCCCCCCACCTCCACCTCCCGGAGCCCCTGGGCCCGCTCCTTCCTACCAGCTGGTTAGAGACATCGCCATGGTCCTTTCTTGTCATGCCCTCACCAATGGCGGACTTCATCAGTCGCGACAGGGAAGGGAGCACGTTGATGGGGGGGTAGATCTGGGGGCGCAGAAGGTGTGGCAGAAGGCAAGGTCCAGACTTTCCCTCCTTCCCACCCTGCTCTTCCCCACCCACCCCCATGGCTGTCAGGGGTCCTCATTCATCCTACAGACAAGTGGGTCGCACCGCCCTCCTTCATCTCTCACAAACTCTAGGGCTTGAGTGTGTAGGTGTCGACATGTGAAGGGGGGAGATGACATGATAAAGCCTCACTATTTCAAAACGTTTGATTGCTGGACGAAACCAGGTTGGAGCTTAAGTTAGTAGCTACAAAGAAAGAACCTGCCCAGCAAAGAGGAAAAAGTCCTAGGGGTTGTTGCCTTGAACACCTTTGCTAACCCATTGGCACATTATTTACCACCTACGCATGCCGGTTACCCATTGTTTTCTGTTCAGAAAGAGAAGAGAGGGGGTATTTCTTTAGTATCTACTATCTGCCAGGTGCTTTCTGTTTGCCAATGTATTTTATCTTCCAAATGCAACTGTGTGATGAGTATTGTTATTCCCATCTTAGAGAAGAGGAGACCAGGATCAGCGAGGTGAAATCATTTTCTCAGGTTCCCGGAGCCAGGTAGGCTGGAGTCTACCCAGACCTGCCTCCTGTCCCTGAACCAGTCTTCCTGGGGGTCACCTCCTGTGTGTGGGGTTAGCCTGGCCTGGCTTCTCCTCATTCACAGAGACACGAGGCACAGGACGGGGGTGGAGGAGCAGAAGGCAGCTAGGGAGGGGACAGTACCTGTCTGTTATGAAGCTGTCTGTCCACGTAGATCTGCCCCTCTGTGATGAAGCCGGTCAGGTCTGGGATCGGGTGGGTGATATCTACGAGGAAATTCACTAGCCTCAGTGTAGATGGGGACCAGGTCTCCACCCACTCGGGGCCACCTGGGTCCTTTCCCATCGTGGGAGTGAAGGAGTAGATGGGGGCAAGGAGAGGACAGTATCTACCCTCTGGAGGAACAGAACTACTGCACATCTGGGCAAGGAAGCACGGGCCCTTGAAGTGTGGGGTGGGCAGGGAGGGCAGAGGGCTGCGGAGAGCAGTGGGCAGGGAGGAGGCTCACCGTCATTGGGCATGGTGAGGATGGGGATCTGAGTGATGGATCCACCCCGGCCCGACACACGGCCCGCCCGCTCATAGATGGTGGCCAGGTCTGTGTACATGTATCCGGGGAAGCCCCGGCGCCCCGGCACCTCCTCTCTGGCAGCTGAGACCTGCAACATCCACGGGCATTGGGGTAAGAAGGGGGTGAGAGGCTGAGACAAGGAATGGTGACTGGAGGCTCGGTGACGATGGGAAATGGACTGGGGGCCGGCCTGGGTGGGCGAGCTCCGGGGTGCAGGGGCTGGGATGAACCCGACCCCCCTCACCAGCCACCTCACCTCCCGCAAGGCCTCGGCGTAGGAGCTCATGTCAGTGAGTATGACCAGCACGTGCTTCTCGCACTGGTAGGCGAGGAATTCAGCAGCGGTCAGTGCCAGGCGAGGGGTGATGATCCTCTCGATGCTGGAGACACGGTCAGGGTTGGAGTGCCTGTGCTCTGTGTAGCTCCAGTACCGAGTGGGGAGGGCACTGGGAGCTGGGACTGTGCAGAGCAGCAGAGGCGTGGACACGGCCAGCCCCTCTCCCAGCCCCCAGGTCAGGGCTGTCACTCTATCAGGTCCCACACTCTCGGCCCGTGGTCCAAGGTGGGAAAGAAACAGAGGCTGGGCAGGCGGGGAGCTGGGTGAGAGTGGGACAGGCAGGCCTAGGAGTATCTGAGGAGGATGACAGCGCCCCGTTTCTGTGGCCTGAAGGTGAGAGGCTCTGGCATATCAGAGGGAGGCCGTAGGGGCTTCTGCCCTAGCTCCCTCTTCCCCTGGGGCATCCGCCCTGGGGTCAGCTGGAGCCCTGTCACTGCGTCCTCAGGATCCTTTCCTCACTGGTCCCCCACTGGTCCCGACCACTTAGTGTGACCGAGCACTTAGTGTGACTGCTGGGCCCTGGCCACCCCTTTCCACTCAGCATTCCTGAGTCCCCGGGGTGGGTGGGCTGGGTGCCTGTGGGTCTCTCCTTTGGTGATGTCATCCCGGCCTGCAGAAGTCTGTCACTGGGTTTTGGGGGAACTCTCAATACCCAGGGCAGTTCATTAGAATTGTTTTTTTTTCCACCCACTTGACCCCCACTTTAAACTCACATGTTCTAAACTGTAAAATAGCAGGTTTTTCTAAACAAATGGTTTAGGGCAACATCTCATTAGTGCTGACTTTTTGGAAGGATGAGGAGCTGTGACTTGGGACCGAGGTTGATCACAGGTTGTGGGAGGAGCAGAGGGACTGCAGGCAGCAGGCAGGGTGCTGGTCCCACTCCCTCTGTCTCTTCCCGAGCGATTCCTACCCCTTACCAGCCTCAGGTTCCCCCTCTGCACAACAAGGGGTTGTTCTCCCAGCCCTGGCCCCTGGCTGTAGCTCTGGGAAACCCCTGAGCCCCTGGACTCTGGGTCCTGGAAGGGGACAAGGCCTGCTGCCTCGGGGCAGGCGGCACCAGGAGAGGACTCACGTGGGGTCGTTGGCCAAGTTCAGGAAGAGGCAGACGTTCCCCATGGTCCCATTCTGCTCAAAGTCGGACTTGAAGAACCTGGCTGTCTCCATGTTCACCTGGACACACAACAGGGAGGGCTGGGGCGGGCCCTGTGGCCTGAGGGCAGGGCCCAGGCCCCTCCCATCTCTTCTCCGTGAAGCCTATGGACTGACTGTCTAACGGTCACTGGGGTGGCCCTGGGGTTGAGGGGGCAGAGCTGGTTCGCTGCCCAGTCCTGGGTAGGGTCTCATCAGACCCCAGAGTGTCAGACTTCTCTAGGGTGAGCTCTGCTCAGTGCCATCCCGCCTTCCTTGGCCAGCTGCTCCCCATTAACTTCCTGCCCACCCCCCACACCCGGGCCTTTGTATCTGCCTCCCAAAGCTGTCTTGTCTCCCCAAATTCCCTTGTGAACTCATAGCTGCCATGGCCTTTGGGGTGCCCTGAGGGACACATGGCCCTAGTCACCGAGCCCACCGCACCCCTTCAGTCACGCTCTTGCCTCTCCCACCTACAGGCCCAGAGGCTGACAGCTTCTCTCGGAGAAGGAGTGTGCCTCCACCATCAGATCAGGCCACGCCAGGGGCCCGGGGAGACTAGGCTGCCCACCCACAGCTTCCAGAACTTGCCACCTGCCAGCCCCTCTTACCCCCATGGCTGCAAAGACGATGGCAAAGTTGTCGTCGTGATAATCCACCACGGCCTTGGATTTCTTCACTAGCCCCGCCTGGCGGCAGATCTGGGCAGCGATCTGGGGAGGGCGGGGTTAGGAGGACAGACGTCAGAGCCCTCCACACAGACTGCCATTGAGGAGGATGGACAGTCCCCAGTCTGTCCTCCTGCCAGGACTTCAGTGGGAGGGACCCACAGAGATGAAAGTCTACCCCAGGCCCTACAGCTTTTCCCATGGGAGACACTGCCCTGCTCTGCGGCTACTAAAGGGCTGAGGGCGCCTGTCAGGAGGAGCAGGCGGAATAGCGGTGCCGAAGAGCAAGGGCCCCAGCCTGGGTGTGGGGCAGCCTGGCCTTCAAACCCCTGTGCCTCCCCCACCAGCCCTCCACCAGCCTGCTGGGGTTTATCTGGGCACAGAGCTGCCCCGGCCGGCGGGGTGAGGGGCCAGCAGCCACACAGACCAGACGGGTGTGTAGGTGGAGGGCAGGGGTGCTGTGCCCTCTGGCCACTCGGACAGTTCGAGGGTGAGCTGGGGCACAGCCAGGAGTGTCAGGTGGGGTGGTCAGGGGAGGAGCATCTGGAACCCTGTCCCCCCAGCCGCCACGCTTGGTGGCAGAGGCGGGGCAGGAACCTGCACAGGGGGGCTTCGGGTGTCCGTGGGGCTGGCATGAGAGGGGCTCACTCGGTGCACAGAGTACTGCCCACGACAAGGCCCAGTGGGTAGAGCTGACCGCTGAGCAGGGCTGTCACCACGGGGCTATCCAGGGGCTCTCTCGTGAGCCAGGGAGCGCCCCACTCACTTGGGCAGAGGTTTGGAGACCTGCTTGGGCACGACGAGGAGTCCTGTGCAGCCCTGCAGACCTGAGTCGCCAGAGGACAACTGCCCGTCTGGATGCCGAGGACCCCAGCTCAGCTGACCCCTGCCTGCTCAGCAGAGGAGGCCCTCCCGCCCGCCTCTGCCCTGTCCCTTGTCCTTGGTGGTGCCTGGGGGCTCCCACAGGCCTTACCTCGTTGTGGGGGAGCCCAGCTGCTGAGAAGATGGGAATCTTCTGGCCACGGGCAATGCTGTTCATGACGTCGATGGGAGAGATGCCAGTCTGGATCATCTCCTCAGGGTAGATGCGGTTGTAGGGGTTGATGGGCTGGCCTGGGAGACGGCAACCGTGGACCCTGCTCAAGGGTTCAAGTCCTCCCTCGCCCTCCCCAGCCCTCCTCCACCTCCAGAGCAGCACTGTGGACACAATTCCCTGCTATGATGGAAATGGGCTCGATGGCACCTCCTCATCGGGTAGCTACTGAGCACCTGAAATGTGGTTTTGTTTTTCTTTTATTGAATGAATTCGTTTAAGTAGCCCCATGTCCAGTGCCCCTTTGGACAGTGCTGCCCTGGGGCCCTGGAATCCTCAGGGGGTGGGAGCTCAGGCTGAGGGCCCCGTGCTCAGAGCCAGGGCCTCCTCCAGACGTACAGGTGCTGTGCAGGGTTAGGGCGACCTGAGGGCGGGCTCAGAGACCTCCTGTTTGAGTGGGTGTGTGTTCTGTGCTCTGCCTCCGACTTGCTGAGTGGCCTTGAGCCAGCCAAGGGGTCCTCCCTCACATCCTCAGCAAGCGGATGTGATAGGGCTGGAGGGCTCAAGACGGCCTCCCTTGGAATGGGGGAGAGCCTGGGAGGGGCTGAGTCTGCTTGTGCAGCCGCCCCAGCCAGCTCTCAGGGGCCGGACAGGGAACCGGAAGGCAGGAGAGTGGTCTTGGGGCACCTGTGGAACCTGCACAGCGATGAGGCATCTACGGGCTGGACATGGAGTGCTGACGGCAGGACTCGGGCTGTGTGGCCCTGGGGGGACAGAGGGCCCTTGCTGCTCTCCTATCACACATGATTGGCCATTAGTCTGATCAGCCCTGGAGGCGAGCCCTGGCCTGTGTCTGGTGCAGAACTTCCAAGGACAAGCTGGCAGAGGTGATGACTGGGGTGGGGAAGGGGGTTGAGGGCTGGATCCCAAAAGCCCCGTAGAACTTCTGGTCACTCACCATTGATATCGAGGAAGTCCTCCGCCATGACCATCGGTCCCTTGTCAATGGGTTTGCCAGAACCATTGAAAATCCGACCTGGGGGTGGGCAGGGGGTATTGGAGAATGCTCAGGGCCAGCCCTGGGTCTCGCACTGCTGCCCACCTCCCACGCCACCACCAGCTCCCACCTGCCCCCCACATGCCAAGTACTCTGTCTCCTTCCCCTTCCACCCTCGGTTACCCCCAAAGAGCTGGCTACAGTGACTGTCCCTTGGGAGTCTTCCTTTCTTTCCTGGAAACCTTTATAGGCAAGGCCTTGGCCCAGAACAACCACTCTAATGGGGTGATTTGGGGGGCTGGGAAGAGGAGAGGGCCAGGTAGAGCAGATCTTGGGAGAAAATTAGGGGCTGTGCAGTCCACTTCGGGCTGACCCACATAGAAGGCTACCTATGGTGCCTCTAGTTTATTGAGGCTGCCTTCCTCATTCACGGAACACCTGCTGTAGTCAGGCCCTGAGCTGGGGTTGAGGGTCAAAGAGAGAAGAAGACATGACCCCTGACCTCAGAGAGTTCACAGGTGAGGCAGACGCGTACACAGGCAGTGACAATGCAGTGTGCTAAATGCTTGGTGGAGACGTTGGATGCAGGACAGACGAGCATACCCACCCTCATCCCACCCCCACCCCCACCCCTCACCCAGCATGTCCTCTGACACCGGAGACCGTAGGATGTCCCCTGTGAATTCGCAGGTGGTCTTCCGAGCATCAATCCCAGAGGTCCCTTCAAACACCTATAGGACAAGAAAGAGGCTAGTGACTCTAACAAGGGGCTTGCTAGAGAGAAGGGCCTCCATTCTCCCATGTATGCCCAGCTCTGAGCAAGGCACTCTCAGGAAAATGGGGCATTTCCTGCCTTTGGAGCTTATCAGATAATGTGGGACCTTTGTGGGTATATTCATTTATTCAACCAGCCAGCATCTCATTGGTACCACTTACCTGAACAATTGCCTTGCTCCCAGACACCTCAAGCACTTGCCCACTCCTCTGAGTCCCATCTGGGAGGGTGAAGTTGACGATCTCAGCATACTGGGCGAACTGGCAGGAAGGGAGAGCAGCCCAGAACAACACTGAGACCAGAGGTGAAGTCCCGGTCCCCTCCCAGTCCTCCTTGATCAAGTCCCAAGTTTCTATCCTCCCTGTTGTGCTCAGACACTGTTGGAAACAAACGCGAGGGACTGAAAGTGGCAAGTTTGAATTCTTTTCTGCAGGCAGTATACCTGAATGGGTAGAAGCACCAACTTTAGAGTTGGAAGACTAGTTAGAATTGAAGCTCTGATGCTTAGGAGCTGTGTCACCTTGGGAAGTTATATAATCTCTCTGAGCCTTAGTTTTCTCATCTTTAAAATGGGGATAATAATAATAATAATAGCTACTTCACAGGGCTGCTATGGGGAGAAAAAGAGATAACATATGTAAAGCCAATTAATTGGTGTTCAGCACCTCATAACAGCTCAATACAATTTAGTCGCTATGGTGGCTGTTTAGGTCTTTTGGATGGTCCAGTTGCCCCTGGAGACTAATGGAGCACACTGTGCAAACATGAAAATAAACACAAAGTAAAAATAATAAAAACAAAGTTGGGATTATTCTAGGAATTCAAAATTAGTCTAATTTTAGAAAGTCTATTCATGCAATTTCTTTATTAGTGGATAAAAAGTTTTAAAAACTTGTGGTCATCTCAAACATTTTTTTTAAAGTTAAAAAACCTCAAACCTATCCATGATTAGAAACAAAAGACAAGAACAGGGGTTGGGAGGTCAAATATATGGTGATGAAAGGAAACTAGACGTTGGGTTGTGAACACATAATGCAATATACTAATGATGCGTCATAGAATTGTACACCTGAAATTTATATAATGTATTAACCAATGTTGCCCCAATAAATTTAATTTTTTTAAAATATAAGAACAAAACTACTCTATAAAAACAGAGACTAGCCCTAACTGGTTTGGCTCAGTGGATAGAGCGTCGGCCTGCGGACTGAAAGGTCCCAGGTTCGATTCCCGTCAAGGGCATGTACCTTGGTTGCGGGCACATCCCCAATAGGAGGTGTGCAGGAGGCAGCTGATCGATGTTTCTCTCCCATTGATGTTTCTAACTCTCTATCCCTCTCCCTTCCTCTCTGTAAAAAATCAATAAAATATATATTTTTTTAAAAAACCAGAGAATAAAAGGGAAATTCCTTAACCCCCAAACGTATCCCCCAAAACCAACTGAAAATATTATACTCAATGGTATAACGTATAAACATCCGTTAAAATTGGGAGCAAGACAACAACGCCTGCTGCCATCATTCTGTCCAGTGTGCACTGGAGGAACTAGACAAAGTAATAAGATGAACAGAAAATAAAGATTAGAAGGAAACAAAACGGCAAAATGAAAACCCCAAATCCTAAACCGATAAAGAGCATAGCCCTCCAAACACTGTAGACCAATTTCTTATATAGATGCAGAAATGATAAATTGTTACTCAGTAAATCAATCAGTGTATTAAATAAATTACAACTAGGGTTCATTCCAAGAATGCAAGCCTAGGTCAATCAACATTAGGGAATTTGCCAACAATTGACAACATAATAATAATAATAATAATGAGTTTGTCAACATAAGTGAGAAGAAAAACTCCATGGGCTTAGGTAAATAGAAACTTAAAAGGTGTTTGACAAAGTTCGGCAGCTGTTTCTAATACAATTTTATGTAAAACAGGAGCGGAAGGCAACTCTTTGAACACTAGACTATTTACCAAAACCAACATCAACATCCTGGTAAACGGTGAAATGCGAAACCCATTTTCATTTCCAATAAAATCAGTAACACAGAGCCGCCTGTATCACTGTTGTTACTAAATTTTTTTTTTTTGGGGGGGGGGGAGAAACTATCAAACCAAACCAAACCAAACAAAAAGAAAAAGAAAAAAGTGTGCCAAATCATAAATGGAGAATGTTCTATTTTTTTTAAGTGGTCAGAGGAGGAGACTCTATTCTTCAAAAATGTCAGTCTCTCTGGAAATGTTCCAGATTATAGGAGACTAAACAAACATAATGACATAATGACCAATAGCAAGAGACATAATCTCCCTGACTTGCACGTGATATTATACACTAGTAGCTAGAAAAACCCAAGAGGCTGTAGTCAAAACAAAAACAAAATGACAACCCCCCGGATTAATAAGAGAATTTGGCTGTATACAAAATAAACATATAAAAATTAAACTCCTTTTCTTCCTTTTCTAGCAACAAGCAGAAGAGGAAATGAAAAAAAGCATTCTATCCACAATAGGGCCCAAACTCATAAAATATTGGATATAAATGTAACAAGAAAGGTACAAGAAAAATAATAAAACCTTATAGGACATAAAACAAGCCCTGAATAAATGGAGACATGAAAAAGCACACATAACTGCTCCACCACACTGCCTCCAGGGCGTCCCCAACATTAGTGGGTCAAACAGTAATGTCCACTGAATGTGGAATCTGTTTTCCAGAAATGAGTGGGTCTGATTTCTTTAGTATAGTTGGCTCAGGTTTTTTTGTTTTGTTTTGTTTTTTAAAAAAATATTTTTATTGATTTCAGAGAGGAAGAGAGAGAGAGAGAGAGAGAGAGAGAGAGAGAGAGAGAGAAAACATGCCTCTATTTGCCAATATATAGCAGGATGTTCACATGGGTTATTTCAATAGGTTGGGGGCAAATAGTTAAAGTTTATGTGTCTTTTCTTTGTTTCACTAGATCCAAGGAGCATTTTTTAAAAATCAAAAAGTAATAAAAATTTGGAACATGTTCAAATGGTTATTCACCATCATTACTATCATTTTATCGCCTGCTCTTCACAAATTAGTGACCTTAATGGCCAGGGAGGCGGGACGGATGGCTCAATTTGCCAACCGGGTGTGACCAGCGCGGGGTCCACTCCCCCGGGGCACCCCTGCTGGGGTTGAACCTGAGGCGGGAGGGTATGCAGCCCTGATAGTCACGGAGGGAAGCTCGACCTGTGAAGAAGATGCCTGGAAGGCGACTTGATTCTCCCCCTAACCACCCCTCAGACCCTTTGCAGGGAGGGTTTTGGGGGAGGGGGCTAGGCCCAAGAGGAATGCTAGGAGGTCCGCTCGGAGGTCCGCTGGGCTGCTAACTCCCAGCCGTCTTTGGCTTCTCAGCCACAAGAGGGAGCCCGAGAGCAAGGGCTGTGTGGCCTGGGCCGCAAGTGAAATGAGTCCTGGCTCTGTTCCCTCTGCTGCTCTCTGAGCCCGCCGCTGGCCTCTATGCGGAGCTGAAGGTGGGCTGCTCACCTCCGGAGGAAAACTACTGGACGGGACACAGGCCAGAGTGGGCCCCAAGGAAACCAGACAACGGGCCCAATAGAAACCAGGCAGCAGGGTGATAAAAAGCCATCCTGTTCATGTGGGTTTCTGTGGGCGAGGGGGGGGAGGGGAGGTGAGGGGGAGGAAAGGAGAGTGAAGACAGAGTGGCACAATGTGTGTCCCTGAAAAATGAAATCTGAGAAAAGGAACTTCAAATAGCAGAGAGACCACAGTCACACAGTAGGAAGAACTGTCAGAACCGTCACACCCAGGCATGGAGAGTGCGGCCTGGACTCCTTCAGGCTCTGGGCGTTCCTGTGTTGGGTTTCATTTGTAGGGAGTGGTGGTCATAGCCACTGAGTCCGGAACAGAATTCCATTGAGCAACAGCGAGCGTTTAACGGGAGGAGCGCCGTTTCCCAGCCACCTACGGAGCAAACCCGAGCCTGACTCTCACTGTGGGTTGCTAAGAGCATTGCAGGGAGTGGGGATGGTACAGGACAACCCGTCCCCTCTGCTGGGGATTCAACTGAGTCCTCAACCAGCCCTCTCAAGCACAGGGCAGCTGCCGTACACACCCGGAGGACCAGGAAGTTCTTAGGAAGACTGGCAGGAACCTGCACCTCGGAAAATCAGATGAAACTACCCAGAAATTTCACAGGGACATGAACACATACCTTCAAACGTTTGCACACAAGTTCAAGGCCTTTATTCCCTGGGCTAAGAACCTCTGATCTACACAAAATTCTTCCCCCAATATTTTTCTGTCCGAGGATGGAAGCAGGAAGTTAATTGCCTGTGTGATTCAATGCGGACGGGAGGTGGCGCTGTAGAGGAGGAATTGTGGCATTTTGCCCAAGCAACTCTAGAACAGGGAAAGGGGTGTGAGACAGTGAAGAGGGGTGCATAAAGGTGCCTTCTGAACTTATAAAACTAACACTACCGACTCCTCTCCTTCCCCTCGCTAGCCCAGGGTCCATCACTCAGTTGTCCTGTTCTTTAAGAGTTCCAGATGTATGCGATCGTCATAGAACCGTAGGTCTGGGGAGCTAACTCCAGTTTCCTAGTCCGGCCCACTTTACAGTTGAGGAAATGGGTGTCTGCCTCAGTACTGACTCTTCATGTGGCAGCGGGTCCTACAGGCTGACAGGTATAGCAGGGAGTGTGGTGGAGGTGGGCGAGGGGCAGGAGATGGCACCGATGTTTAATCAGGCATATGAGCGCATCTGCCTTCCAGCCAGAGCTATAGCTGGCTGTTCTCAAGGAGAACAGGAATTACACATTTACCTGATTTGATCCTCACAGCAGCACTATGATCACTTGATAGATGAGGAAACTGGGATTTACAATCCTAATTCTGTCAATTGGGAGTGGAGCCCAATATTCTGTATTTCGAACAAGTTTGCAGTTGGTGCTGATGCCGCTGATCTAGAATTGACAGGTGGCTAGCAGAAGGGTGAGCTGGAGCTGGGATTAAAAGTCAAGAAGCCTGAGTCTGGCCCCAGTGCACACACACATAACTGCTCCACCACACTGCCTCCAGGGCATCCCCAACATTAGTGGGTCAAACAGTAATGTCCACTGAATGTGGAATCTGTTTTCCAGAAATGAGTGGGTCTGATTTCTTTAGTATAGTTGGCTCAGGTTTTTTTGTTTTGTTTTGTTTTTTAAAAAAATATTTTTATTGATTTCAGAGAGGAAGAGAGAGAGAGAAACATCAATGATGAGAGAGAATCATTGATCAGCTGCCTCCTGCACGCCCCCTACTGGGGATCAAGCCCACAACCAGGGCATGTATCCTTGACCGGAATCAAACCTGGGATCCTTCAGTCTGCAGGCTGACATTCTATCTACTGAGCCAAACCAGCTAGGGCTGGCTCAGTTTTTGACAGGTCCATATTTAGTCATGCTAATATTTATTCATTCATCTCATTCACTTACTCACCCTTCCTTTGAACACACTGAGTTCCTACAATGGGCTGGGTGTTCCATGCAAGTGCAGTGAGGGGCTCTGGGAGCTCAGGATTAATAAAACACCATCCATGCCCAAAAGGAGGGCAAAGTGGGGACAGTGGACAGGGAGGTAACATGTTGACAGGTGGTGGCCAAATGCCCCCAGTGGATGGGACACTGACAATGAGGCGGTACACAAAGCTGAGGAAGTTACATGTGGCCATTCTAATGCTGAAGAAAGAGGCGCAATAGCCTGGATTCCCCAGCTCCTTGGTGATAGAAGCAGGTCCCCCAAGGCCTAGAGTGGGCCCCTCACTGGAAAGGCAGGAAGGGGAAACTTCGGGTGGCTGGGAGAGAGCTGGGGAGGAAGATGTGGGCGTGAGTGGCAGGGGGGCATCTAGGGGCAGGGCAATTTAGAAGAAATTCTGCAAATCCTGCCCAGGGGTCAGGGACTCCTGGGATTTGGCCTTGGTGCCTGGGAAGAGGCGGAAGTCTTACCTTGACCTGGTCCAGCACCACCAGGGGCCCATTGACGCTGCACACGGTCCTGTAGGCTGGGGGAGGAGTGTTGGGGGAGGGTGTCACATCCAGACACACACACACACACACAGACACACACACACACAGACGCAGACACACACACACACACACACACACACACACAGACAGACACAGACACACACAGAGACACAGACACACACACACACACAGGCATCTTGGGCCTTCCCTTCCCTCCCGCTAAGCACCAGCCCATCCCCTCCCTGGCCTGGGCCATCAGGGTCATTAGCTGTGACAGAGCCAGCCACCATTGCTGTAAGGGTCATGCCCCTGCCTGCAGGGCTCCACCGCCTTGGACACCTGCAGGAGGCTGGGGGAGGGCCGGGGCCAGGGCAGAGGCCCCTCGGAGTCCTCCCCTCCCAGCCACACAGAGGCCTTTCTCATCCCTGAGGCTGCTTCCCCTCCGGCCTCTGCCCCTCCTCACCCACTCCCTCCTCTCTGACCCACAGTGTTTTGCAAAAGCTCCCAGCCCCCAGCCGTGGCCAATGGCCCTCCCCTGCCCTCCCCAGGACCACACTTCTCTCCATCACCCCATGCTGATTGAACTCCGTGTGTGGAGGGGGTGCAGACATCAGTGAGAAAAACCAGCCAGCACCCCTGCTCTGCCACGAGGCCCTGCCAGGGAGACTCCCGGAGGCCCCAGGTCCACCAGGTGCCCGCGGGGGAGGAGAGAAAGCAACAAGGAAGGAGGAAGCGGCCCAACAGTGGCTGCAGAGAGAGACCCATAAGGGGGAAATGAGCTCCGCTTGCAGAGAGCGGTTGGGTTTCACATCAGAAGACACTTCCTCGCTGCTGTTGGGGCCCCAGTGGAAGCAGCCATGCTGGGCAGTCAGGAAGCCTACTTTGGCTCCTCGAGTGGCTGGCTGAGGGGCCCTGGGGCCCTCCCTCACCCACACCCCTCGGGTACCGGAGACCTTCACTGGGGTCCTTATAAAGCCTCAACGAGACAACTGGGCTGAAGGAAGTTGGCAGGCAGGATGGGCAGGGTCTGTGAGGTCGCTGGGTCACTCACAGGCTGGAAGGACGGCCCAGGGCCAGTGGTCCAAGCACCCTTTTAGCAGGCGAGGAACACAGGGCCCAGAAGGATGAGGAGCCAGCCCGGTCACACAGCACGCTGGTGGCAGAGGAGCGGCTGGGATCCCCTCTTTGTCCTTCTTCTCAGACCACATTGCCTTATGCCTGTAAGCCAGCCTGGCACCAAGCCACCCCACACCAAGGGAACTAAAGGGCCCCGCTCACGCCCCCTGGTGGTCAGACCCTTTACTTTTGTTGGATATGAGTTACTTTCACTGAGAACCGAGTTAGGAAAACCCATTGGGTGAGGGTGTTTTTGCCCAGATAACTGCAAGGCTTTCCTGGGTTTAGACAACTAGGAAACGTAAGAACAGGAGGAGGGCACCACCAGGTAAGTCCTTCTTGGGCTTGGGCCCGGAGCAGGGGGGGTACTGAGGCAGGGTGCTGAACCAGAAGGGCGGGGAGGGGCACTTCCTCCACAGGCCTTCCTGAGCCTGTGCAGCCTCTCCCTCCAGCTGCTGGCCCACCCCCTCTCCATTGTCCGAGCTGACACTTCGGGTTGCACTTTGGGCTGCAGGCTGGGGGAGCCCCTCCCTGACCCTGTCTCCCCACCGCCTTCCCTGTCAAAGACTCAGCAGGGGGCTCTCGCAGCCCACTAATTAGGGCGGCCCAGCCACACACCTGCAGAGTCCTGGGAGAGGGCTGCGGCGGGCGCCCAGGCGTGAGGCCAGGGTGGGGGCAAGCCGGGGCAGCAGGTCCCTCACCTCTTCCCTGATCCTGTTGGAGGGATTAGGGAAGGGGGGCAGGGGATAGAAGCTGAGGGTTCTTAGAATCAGCCCAAGACCCTGCTGGGTGGAACTCTCAGTGTAATAACCTCTCTGGCCTTTCAGTTGAGGAAACCGAGGCAGCCAGTGGTGTGGCACTCAAGCCCCCGGGCAATCTGACCTGGTTCCATCCCACCAGCTAGGCCACCAGCCTGGCCATCATCATTTTTGCTCATGCTGTGCCCCCACCCCTTACCCTATCAGCCTAGCAACTTGTGCCCCACACCATCAGATAAAGCTCCATGCCACCTCCTCCCCTGGGGAACAACTGTAGCTCTGGGGGTGGCAAAGGGGTCCCTTCTTTCCTGGAGTGGACATGTTGGGGTTCACTCCCCATCCCAACTCCACCGCCCCCCCTTCTTTCTGGCCCATTCCCTCCCTAGCCACTGAAGTGCCTCAGGCCACCTCCTCCTCCGGGAAGCCTCCTGGATTCACTCCATCCATTGGCCCCCTGAGCCCTGGGGCTGGGAGCCAGCTGCCCTCCTCCTATGCACCTTCTGTCTCTACACAAAGTTCTCCTGGAAGTGCTTATAGGCCCCGGGTAGAAGGCCAGACTCGGAGGAGGAGTCCGGCTCAGCTTAGGAGGGCAGCAGCTCTGGGTTTTGTGCCTATCCATGCCCCTCCCCCCAGGGAGAAACCCCTCAGGCCCTGAGGAGGAAAGGAGGGAATTGGTGAAAGCTGCAGGTGCAGAGCACTTGGGGAACCCTGCCTGCCCTGGGGGTGGGGGCTGTTAAGGCGGGGCTGGGGCTGGCCCCGGGATGTACCCTGTGAGGACACTGGTGTGCCGCAAAGCAAAGGTGGTGGCTTTTGTCATTGCAATGACATCGTTGACACAGCTGTGGAGCCCGAAGGGGCTCCCCCTGCACTGCCCCTGGCCTCTGGGTCAGCTGTTGTGTGTGAACACCCTTGTCCCAGTGGGGGCCACACGGAGCAGCACACTTGCAAACCTGGGGTTGCGGGGGAGGTTGCTGCCACCCCTGGATTCCAACCTGGGTCAGACTTGACCCAGGCTTGTTGACTATAAACAAGGAACTGGCTGAGAGGGATCTGAGGGGGGCAGTGGGGGGGCGGGGGGAGTGCAGCCTGCAGGGTTCCTGGAAGAGGGTACATTCCAGGGAGAAGGAAAGCAAAGCATGTAGGTCCGGACTCCAGGACCCACAGCCCACTCGGACTCCGGGATCCCGGGATCCCGGCTGCTCTCCTGGTCCCACGGGGAGGAGGGATGACGGGAGGAGCCTCCCATCACATGGGACTGGACGAGGGTCAGCGGACTCCTCTCAGGTCTCCAGGCCTGGGCTCTGGACCCAAATGGGGCCCAGTCGCTGCATATTTCTGGGCCTTGGGGACCTCCTCGGCCCTGGGGAGGATCTGGGCCTTCATCCTCTCTGCACCCACACAGGGCAGAGCTGGCAGGGCATCTGGATTAACCTTACACCACTCCTCTCAGCAGCTCCTCAGCGGAACATACTCCACCCTCAGTGCCTGCTGGGGCCTAAGGAGGTGCCACACACCCCTGGACTCCTCCTGGGGCCTTGGGGCTCCACTCCCAAACGCAGACTGGGCTCCAAGCTGCCTCTCAGGCCACTCCTCCCCCCATCAGATGTGTAACTGGAGAGGAGGGAGGGGTGGCTGTGCTACACCAGCTTCTCCCCAAACACACCCTCTTAGCAGCCTCTGGCTCTGCTCAGCTGGTGCTGGCCAGGCCGGTTTCCTCCAGTGGGCTGGGCTGCTGAGAATTCTAGAATGAGCCTGGGCAGGGAGAGTGACCTTGGAGTAGGAGAGATGGCGGGGGCAAAGGGCTCCCTTTGGTCCTCAGGGCCTCACCGGGTTCTCTGCCCCAGACACTTGAACTTGGGCCACTTCTGCAGGACAGGCCCTCAAGCCACCGCAGGGCCACGCCCTCTGAAGCCTGCAAAGATGCACTCTGGCACACACACCTGTACACCTGGACGCCAGGCGCTCCCCCTCCCCCGGCTGTACACACACAGACATGGACAGCACCTGAGCACACCTCCGTGTTCACCACGTGAGCATGCACGCTGGAGCATATACACGCACACGTACACACCCTCACCCTGAGTGTACAAGTTGCACACACAGTGTCTCCCTTTCCCACTTTGTCCAAAATGACATAGATACCCACATTTCTTCACTCTGATCACACACACACTCAAGCTGTCACACACATTCACACATATCCTCACATGAGTGAAGGCGAGAACACGCAGGCACACGCCTTCCCTGGCTATACACGCTGACATCCACCCCAGAACGCACACGCGGCACGCACCCATCGATGTGACACACAGTGTCACGTAATTCCCATCCGGAGGATGCACACCAGCTCTGCATTGCTACACAACCCCCCCAAGAACACGCGATCACACGTTTCCTCATGCTGGGCCTGGATACATACCCCAAATACACATGTTCACATACACACACACTCTCAGGGGCAGGTGGGTGCCCTCTCTGGACTTGGGGTCTCCATGCAGGTCCAGAGTGATGACGGGGAGCTTCTTGCAACGACTCCCCTGCCCTCCCCTCTGGGGTAACCTGGGCTCAGACCAGCATCTCTCCACCTGCAGAGGTGGCTCCTTGCACAGGCAGCTGATGGTATCACTCCACTGGACCGAAAGCCCCCTAGGCCACTCCCCCCACCCTCTGGTCCTCCTCTTTCCCTGAGGCTAAAAAGCAGTGCCTGAGGACCAACAGCCCACCCCACGCTCACCCACTGGGGGTCATACTCACTGACACGGGGGTGAGTAATGTAGTTTCGGGTGACCGCCTGCATGTGCTGGCGAGCTGCGCCCAGGTCGCTACCACTGCCGGGGAGCCCCCCAGGCCTGCTGTCTACCTCCATGGCCATGGTGAGGTGTGGGGCTGGAGCGGAGTGCCTGAGCCGAGCTGGCTGACTGACGCAGGTCCAGCACTCCAGGTCCAGCCCGAGCTGGAGAGAGCCAACCAGCCTGCCTGCCCCGTGGCTACCCCTCCCCTCTCTCCTCCCCTCCTCCCCCTAGTCAACTGTAAACAGGGAAACTTGGTTTCCTGGAGCAATTCCAGATCTGGGAGGTGCCCTAGGCCACCTGAAGCAGGAGGAAGGGGGGAGGGGGGGGCACAGGGGTCTGGCTGGCTTCTCTCACTTCTTGAGGTTCCTCCACCCCAACCTGCAGCCAGTGTGAACTCATTTCCTCCCCCTGGCCAGGAACTTCAGGTGTTCTGACAGCCCCATACCCCTCACCACATCTCTTCCTGGTCTCCCCCCTCAATCTTCGCTTCACCATCTCCACCAGCAACCTGCTGTCACCCCTGACCATACGGGGTACTTCTTCCCCTGCGCAACTCCATTATCATCTTTTTTTGAACACCTAGGGAGGATCATTCTTGGATCAGCTTCAGTGCCTCCTCCTCCAGGCAGCCTCCCCTGGGTCCTCCAGCACCCGGAGTCACCACACATCTGGTCTCTTTCCTGTGTCATGCCCTTGAAGGGGACCAAAGTTCTGCCACCCAAAGCTGCCTTTTGGGATATGGATTTTAAAGTGGTTATTAAGAAACAAAAGACTCAGAGAGAACCTTTGACCTGCTCCCTGTTCCTGCCTAAGAGATCAGGTGGGGAAACCGGCATCAGGAAGGGACCCTGAGCACAATCACCTGAGCATCACACGGTCAGGCCCCAAGCAGGAGCCTGTGGATTAACCCCCCACCCCCTCGCCAGGCCCATTGGTTTCTGGGTTGCCGGGCCAAAATCTACCTCCAGGCGTTCTGCTCTTCCCCAAGTACCTGCAAATCACCCATTTTTACTTGTAAAATCTAATACCCCACTCCCCCCCCTTTCTCCTTTGTCCAAAATGACACACATATCCAGTTTTGCCTCCCTGTCTTTGGAATAGTCATGCTTTTATGAATTCTAAGTGTGCACGTATTAAAATTCCATTTTCTCCTGTTAACCTCTGGTAACATGGTTACTAGCCCAGCTAGAAGAACTCAGAAGGTGGGAGGAAACCTATTACTTTTTTAGCCCCCACACCCTTTTGGAGAGTTCTCTTTTGCTGCCGTCACTGGTCTGTGAGCCCCAGAGTTGAGCCTGTCTCCTCCATCAGCCTTGGGTTCCTTACGCCTTTCTGTCTCATAATATTGACAGCTCCCTGAGAACCAAGACAGGCCTCTCTCCATCTGATCATAGAACCCTGTCTCATTTCTTCTATTTCACTTCAGCGTCCCATGCAGCCGGTCCCTCCTGACATTTTTAGCCCAGGGCAGCAAGCGCAAATGGAGGAATATGTTTTGGGCGGGGTGGCTGAACAAACTGTGCCTTCCCCTGGGCCAGGGCAGTGCAACACAGGTCTGCCAGGCAAGGACACGGTGGTGGCTGGACCTGCCCAACCCAAGCTCCTCCCCAATCACCCATATGTCTCATTCCAGACTCAGGATTCCCCTCCCAGCACCCCATTCTGGGTGACTCAGGGCAGCCAATTTGAAACCAGATACAGTGGGGCCTTGACTTACGAGTTTAATTCGTTCGAGACCCAGCTCGAGCTCGAGCTCGTTAAGGAGCTCGTTAACTCAAATTACTCTATAACTCAATGCAAAAAATCGGCGAGAGACAGCTGGTATCTCAAAAAACTCGTTAGTCGGGACACTCGTAAGTCAAGGCCCCACTGTATCTGGTTTCAAATTGGCTGCCCTGAGTCACCCAGAATGGGGTGCTGGGAGGGGAATCCTGAGTCTGGAATGAGACATATGGCTAAGGACCCATTTTAGGGTCCCTCTCTCACCAATTTCCATTCTTTCAAAGAACTCTCTTGGGCTGGGGCAGGGATGGGGGTGACCATGACGGGCTAGCAGGGGGAACTCTTTGTGGTGACGGACAGTTCCTATTGCTGATTTCAGTGGTGGTCCATGAATCTTACACGAGTGATGAAATGACGTGGAACGGTGCACGCACGGTACCAATGTCAATGTCCTGGTTTTGATGGTTTACACCGTAGTTACGGAAGGAAGATGCGACCATTGGGGAACCTGAGTGAAGGGTACAAGGAGTTTTCTGGACTATCTTTGCAACTTCCTATAAATCTACAATGACCGCAAAATACTAAAAAGTTAAATGAAAGTTTCTTAAAAATGCTCATATTGCTGTGTCTGTGGTGGGTGGGCCTTTTCAAGCAGGTGGGGTCTCACCTGGGCGTACCTTTGATCCCCTCTCGCAGGCTCTCCGGATCCACCCTTTCAAAGGATTTAGCATCTCCTCCCTCACGTATTTTTATGTTTGAAAGAGGATTTTGCAAAGGGCAACGCTGAACCGGGAAAAGCGTGGCTGCTGCTGCCAGGGGCGTGGGAGTGCCGGGGTGGGAGCCCTAGTTGGGAGTGGGAGCCAGGGAGCCGGATCCCCCAAAACCGTGAACATGGCCCCAGTTTCTGCCCCTCCCAGGAGAGAGCCCCCCTCCACCTCAGCCAAGAGAGGGACAGAGGGGGTCGAGGGGCAGGTGCTGTGGGGACTCTGTTTCCCTTCGTCATTGTTTTCCTTTTATTTCAGTGAGAGGCACACACGCACACAGCACTCACACACACAAAGCTGCGCAGCCCAGGCTGTCTGGTCCTGGTCCAGAGTCTCTGCCAG